TTTATCTTTTCTTTTAATGGAAATAAAATAATTTTACCTCAAGGTAAAAAGTATTTAAAAATAAGACAAAGAAGCACTCTTTTCTTTAGAATACAAGGTAAATTTAAAAAGTAAGTAATATAAGGGAATTATAATTTTTCTTCCTGGAGGACTCTAATGTTAGAAAATAAAAAATCAGGGAGAATGATAACAAAAGAGAAAATGATAAAGAAAACTTAAATGCAGGGCAATAAATTACATTCATAAGCTAAAGGTGGCTCATTTAAATCAGTCTATGTTAAAAGAAAAACACTCTGGAGTCACAATAAAACTACCCTTTTGAGATAGCCATTTCCTACACAGCAACATATGAAACATTTTAACAAATCCTGGCTTTGTCACTACAGTGTGTAACTTTGGATCCCTTAGTGAATGCTTCTTGACTTTATTTTCCTCATGTACAAAATGAGAATGTTGGACTGGAGTGGTACTTAAAATTTTAAGTACAGATACATCTAAATAATATTAACCAGGATTTCAAATATATATTAATAAAAAATACAGGTGGGGCTGCTTTGGTCATTTAAAATAGGCATGACGCTTCTGGAAACTAGAAGTGGGTTCCTGTTATCATCCCTCTTTCCCCTTACATCTCTTAGGGAGGCTCCTAACGCTAGGGCTCCATGAAATCCAGTTAGAAAGCCAAAGGTCTAAAACCTCTTTAGGTCTCTCCAGTTATAGCATTCCATGATGGTATAATTTGATTTCTTCTAAGCCTCTAAAATCAACATTAAGATGCCTCCCATGTAAGTAAACACTGTCCTATAAATTTTGTAGCGGCATCATCTTTCTTATTAACCATTGTCTAAACTACACAATTGTAGGCTGATCTTTTAGGAAATGCAGTTCCTTGCACTGTTTTTATTGCTGTTTCTATATAGCCTTTTATGTGAACTTCATTACCTATAAGCAGTATGTTCAACAAAGGAGGATATAAATGGACAAATCCAGACATGTATCATTTCCTTAAAGAGGTTACATTCTAATGGAACATTCCTACAAATAACTACAATGGGTAGTAGAAACTGATGATATCATCAGATAAAGTAAAATGGATGTTTAAGGGCTGAGATTATTTCTGGTTATGAGCTGAGCTATAAAGAATGTCAGGCTTTGTACATAAAACATTGGTACAGATGTAGATTCTAAGCAGAGGTTACTTCATGAACATCAGCAAAAAGGCAGGGAGACATGGGACAAGTACAAGGATCTGTACATGATGGTAACAGTTGAAATGTAGGCTGTATAAAGACAAATACTGGAGAGAAAAAAGATTACTGGCAGAATGTGAAGAGGCTAAATGAAGTTTTAGAGCAGAGGAGTGCTTCAGTAAAGTAAAAGGAGCAAAAAGAGGCTTGCGATGGATGTACATGTTAAGATGAAAAAGTATGAATGCCTGATTCAGACTGCAGCAGCAGGAATGGAGAAGAAAGGTGCTGTATGGAACCATTTCCGCAGTAGCGAAAGAGGTAGCATGGAAAGAGTCAAAGCTAATGTAGAGGCCAAAACCTAGGCAAGTAAGGAAATACTGGAGAATATATGACAAAGTTCAGAGACAGATGAAAAGGGTTAAGCAGAATGGAAATGTCCTGCAGGAAAGTGAAAATGTTGAATTGAAACTTGGGAAAGAGGTCAGATCTGTATAAATACTTGGAAAAAATTTTTACAGACATGGAAGGTGAAGTTTTAAAAATGAACATAAGATTGCTGAAAAAAGGACTCAGTGAAAGAAGACAATTCTAAGTGCTGATCCATGTAAGGTACCAACATTAATAGATAATAGGAAAAAAATGAGAGAAAGTGTGATTGGAGAGATACCAGGAGAACTGGGTGAGCACAGTGGTTCTATATAATTATATACATGCACATACTTATGTGTATACTTTAGTTCTTGATCTGAAGAATCACATAAATTGATATACAGCAGGGTTTTCTAAAGTGTGTTCTAAAAAAACATTAGTTTTAGTAGCTGTTAAAAGGTACTTCATGATCAAAACAGGACTCAGTTATTCAGAAGATGGGGATAAGATGGTTCTTTATCTCCTGTAGAATTCAAAGAGTACATCACACTGACCCATAAACCCTTTTTGTTTTTTTATCTTCTAGATACAGCAGTATCTAGCAGTAACAGTAAGTCACCTTGAGAAACAAGGATAAATAGTAAAATTTGAAGATTCACATAATATTAAAACTGGAAAGGAAAGCTCTGATCATTTCATCCAATCTTTTCACTTTATAGGTGAAGAACATTAATTATATGATATACTACTGTGGGTGGTAAAGAATACATGTGGATATGAAAGCATATGAACAAGAGAGAGACAAAAAGGTAAGTGAAAAATAGAAATTACAGCTTTAAAAGATACAATATTAGTTACCATTCGAGGGATAATTTGCTTTATGTTTAGTGTTTTAGAACATTTCACAGTGTCATCCTAAGGGTTATATGAAGTTCAATAATCACTCATCAGACAAAAGAAGAAACTGAGGCCTAAGGTTAATATGACTAGTGACCCAGCTAGTACATGGAAGAGCTGGAATTCAAACCCAAATCTCTCTAATTCTGGAACCTGGGCTCCAGAACACAATGCTCTTTTGACAAGGGGGCCAAGAAGAGTCCAGGTCTTAGGTTCATTCCCATGCCTGCCCATGGATAGGGTCTGAGATAAGATTCTTTCTTATCATCAGGGAAATGCAAATCAAAATCACAATAAGATATCACCTCACACCTGTCAGAATGGCTAAAATGAAATACTCAAGTTTGATCAAAAAAATAAAAAACAAGTTTTGAGGAGGCTGTGGAGAAAAAAGAAACCACATGCATTGTTGGAGAAATGTAAACTGGTACAGCCACTGTGGAAAACAGTATGGAGGTTCCACTACTGGGTATTTACCCAAAGAATACAAAAACACTAAATCAAAAAGATATATGTGGCCCTTTATTTATTGCAGCATTATTTACAATAGTCAAATTATGGACGCAGCCCAAGTGTCCACTGATAGATGAATAAAGAAGATGTGGTATATATATTATTCAGCCATAAAAATGAATGAAGTCTTCCACTTGCAATGACATGAATGGATCTAGAGGGTATAATGCTGAGTGAAATAAGCTGGATCAGAGAAAGTTAAATACCATATGCTTTAGCCATATGTGGAATTTAGAAATAAAACAAATGAACAAAGAATGAAGAGATAAACCAAAAAACAGACTCTGAACTATACAGAACAAACTGATGGTTACCAGAGGGGAGGTAGGTGCGGAGGTGGGTGAAACAGGTGATGTGGATTAAGGAGTACACTTATCATGATAAGCACTGAGTAATGTACAGAATTGTTGAATCACTATATTGTACACCTGAAACTAACACAATACTACATGTTAACTGTAGTATCTTCTGGATGCAACAGTATACTTTACACAGGAAGTCACCTTGAGAAACAAAGTTAAGTACAATGGAATTAAAAAAATTTTTTTTCTTGCACCAAATTGTCACTATACATAAATATAAATAAAAACATACTATAACAATTTCCATATATAAAAAATTTAGATTTACAAAACAGATCCTCAGGACTACATTTATTTGTTTTTTAAAATAACTTATAAAAGAATCTTCAAATATCTCTCCCCTGTATGAACATACTTACATTTCATTTTTATTAATTTTCTGTAGAGGAGATATTCTGCATCGGTTCAGACACACCTTTAATATTTCAGCAAGATACTAAGCATATAATTTATGAAATTTTTCTAGGAAACCCACTTTCATTCATGAGAGATATATCCAAAAATGATCACTTTGGAACACAGGCCATGAATTCTTATTATCTTAATGAATTTTCCTTGAAATGACACAATGTCTTTGAGTCTCATGACATATATAAATAGAGAAACATATGCCATCACATATACTTGCAAATATTAGTCTCAAATCAAACTTTGAATCCCTAATTTCAAATAGTACCATATAACCTTACAATTAGTGCAGTTTAAGTAGCACTTTTTCATTCATTCTAGCTTATTATATGTGAGACATATGTAATCAATTGCTAAACTACTTTTATCCAGTGTACAGATGAAAGAATAAGATTTATCCCTAAGTTACGATTCTATAAACCTAAGGTCATTGCAGATTGCTATGCTAGGCCACATGGTAGAAAAATAGGTATGAACACTTAATATCGGTAAAATAAAAAATAAACTTCATATGTAGTTCTAATTAAAAAACATATTTTGACCTAATTTCTGGACAACAATTAAAAATTTAGTAGAAAAGTTTTTTAAGTTAAATTCGTAACTGTTGCATTGATGAGTGAAAAGTCAGAAGAGTTATGGTATTATTGATCTACCAATATTGATCTACACCTAAATTAGGTGCAATTTATCTATAATTTTATTTCCCAAAGTATGTATCTTGAAACACTACATTATACTGTCAAAAAGGTTCAGAAAACATTGCAAATTTCATTCTTCTTGGAGACTTGCATTGTATAAACTCTTGGAAATTCTGCAGTTACAAAAATAATGTAGATTTATTTAATCCATCATTTCTCAAGTTTATCAATATCTTGGTATTATTAGTGTGATTGGAAATGGGATTGATGATAGGGACAAAGGGATTAAAACAAACAGACTGTACCAAAATCATTTGTATTGTATTGTGGAATATATGTGATTTTATCAGATTTTCTTTCTTAGAAGGATATATTAAGAAGATAACTGTCTCTAGGCATAGCAACTAGACTAAATGCAAAATAGGCGCATGTTGGGTACCAAGAAAAAGACATGGGATACTCAGAGTTTACTCAGGTTTTATACAAAGTACGTTAGACACTGGTGTAAAATGAAAACTGGACATGCATATTTTATCCTCTAGGATCACATCTAAAGTGTAAGGAAAGACAGTAAAAAGAATAAGCAGTTCATTTATTAAAATGCTGACATCCAGCATACTTACACTGCCCATTCAAGCTTCTCATTCTTAATTGAGTTGTACAGAGCCTGTAAAGAGAGAAAATAAGACGGAATTATTCTTTTCGTACTGTTCCATATTTTTAATCCAGCAAATGACCAAAGCCAAAAGGCTTGACTGAGCAGCAAGCAACTCCCAAGCCCTTTGTTGGCCACCCTGCTGGCTCTACAAAGATGAGGAATACACAAGGTGAGGCAAACGAGCATAGGGTAAGCAGTATTTTGTGAAACAGATTTTTCACAAAGTAAAAAATGGCTTTTATAAATAAGACACACAACACTGTATGACATTTTAGTAAATATTAGGATATAATTAAAATTAGACCATGTACTCTATTCTTCTTATTCAAAATATGGTCTTGTAGTTTTACTAGTTTAGATACTAAAGTGTGCATACTTTTTTCATTGATGTAATAAGTAAAACTGTTTTCATAAAAATTTAACGAGCAAGATACATTTGAGGAGGACTAAAGCCAGATTATGGAAAACCATCTTAGAAATTTCAGAGTTTTTATATCAATGACTTAAGCAGTTTTTAGCAGTCTAACTTCATAATTGTGCTTTACAGTTAGTATTACATTGGTGTGAGGTGGTGGAGAGGAAAGACAGAAAACTTCCTTAGAGCCTGGGTAATAATAATGATATTTGGCCTGATCACCTCTGATTCTCCAAGCTCGGGCATTATGTATAAGGTCCTTGTAATCAAGTTGTTCCACCATGATAACTACCCAAGAAAATGCTACTCCACATCTCTATTTCCTTAATTTTGAGTAAGATGTTGTAAAGAAAACACAAATAGATATCTAAGCCACCACAACAAATTATACTGAAGAAAAGGATATGTGCAGGATAACATTAGAATGATGTCAGAACATTTTTCTTCAAAGAAGGACTTGAACCTATTCAATTCAGCAGATTCAGTACAAATATATTTAGGTTACAGGTTTTATATTACTTAAGATTTAACACACGTACCATTAGCCAGTATTCACAGACTCTGGGATTTCTGCCTAGTAGCTACAACAGTCAGTTTAATTAACTACTGGATAATTATGAAGCTAATAAAAACTAGGAGACATTTCATCATTATCAGGATGTGGTAAAATGTGTCCTCAAATACAAAAACTCATAGAACATCAAATTAAAATAAGGGGTAAACTGAGGTACAAAGATCATGCTGTAAATTGGATATTCTTTTGGAAGAACTCAAATTTACTGAAGAACTACAACAATCTATTTTTTAGCAAAATGTCTCATGAGGTTGCACTTATTTAGAAGTGCAGAGAGAGTAGATGTCTAACTCAAGCCTCAGGAGACTCTTGATAGATAGATGTCCTTTAAATGGATTCCACTACTCGCATTAGCCATTTTGAACCCACAAGTAATGGTGAGTTGAGAAACTTCAGCTGAAAAGAGATCATTAAAGGTTCTTTATATACTATCACACTCAATACTACCTAGAGTAATTTAACAATGCAATAAAGATAAAAAAAAATCTATTCATAAAGGTAGATAGCTTAAAATGATATCCAAGCATCTAAAACTTTTCTAATACATTTAATTCTGTCCTAGAACAAGTTTTTCTTTCAAATTTTTTGCCCATGAGAATATTTTGCTTAATGAGATACCGAGTTCTTAAATAGAAAATTCTTGTTCAGCTGCATATCATGCAACAAAAATCTATCATAAAGTATCTTGAAAAATTCAACAAACTTACCAAAGTGTGGACTTCTTCCAGTGTATATATTATGTAGAAAATATTATATAGCATATAATATATGCTATATAATGCTAATAACATATATATTATATAGACAAATCTAAAAGGTAGATGCTATCCTTATCCTTTCCAATTGCAAAATTACAAAGGGATTTTCTTGAATCTTTCTGGTGCTTTATAATGGCACACTGTTTTACCAAAAAAAGGAAATTATGCTTTGCACATGTATCAAACACTTCTATATCCTTCATCACAACTTCCTATCCTTTTATTTACTTAGCTTAGTTAAGAACTGAATTCCTTTGGGGCACATAGGTGGCTCAGTCAGTTGAGGTCCAATCCTTGATTTTGGTTCATGTCAGGATCCCAGGGTCCTGCAATAGAGCCCCTTGTCAGGCTCTGTGCTGACAGCATGGAGCTTGCTTGGTATTCTTTCTCTTACTCTCTCTGCCCCTTTGCTGCTTGCTCTCTCTCTCTCTCTCTCTCTCTCTCTCTCAAAATAAATAAATAAACATTCTAAAAATAAATAAAACTTAAGAAAAAAAGGAATTCAATTCCCTTGATTCCTCCTTATCTTTAGCTCCACAGTCATCCCTTTCGTTCCTGTGTATCCTATACCCCACACTCTATCACATTAACAAATCTTGTTTTTATTAATTACCTTCAAGTTCTTTGTCCCACTGCCTCTCTGTTGTACCTAAAGAGAAAGATTGAAACTCTTGACCAATCCTACTCTGACTTCTCCACATTTATATCCCCTGTATTAGTTAAGGTTTCTTTAGTTTAAAATACACATACCAAAACTCTAACTACCTTAAGCATGAGGAGGACCATAGAAAGACATGGATGGAGCTGGCCTCAGGGACAAAGGTATTTAACTCTCAAGTATTTTCCTCATTCCACCTCAAACATCTCCACTCCTTGTTTCTTTACTACACAAAAACCATGTCTACAACAAGCAACACTCATGTGTATCTTTCATGACTGTCAACAAGAGATAACAGTTCTTTCTCCTAACTTCAGTTTGAAAAGATTGTAATTGGTGTGGTTTAGATCACCTGTCCTCCCCTAATTCATGTGGCGAGATGAGGTATAATGATTGGGACTATCCCTGGAGTCAGTGAGGCTGGGGTATGTATTAAAGAGGGGGTAGTATAGACGTAGCCACTAGTGTGTAATCCTCCTGAGCTTTAAAGCCTCCCCTATTTGTATATAACTAATTCAGCAATAATAGAGAAAATTAAACAACAGCACAAATTAATGCCATTGAATATTCATCATCTCAAACTTTAGGAGAGACTTCATTCAATAGCCTCCTGACTTTTTGCCATCTTCCTTAAAATGTATCTGCACTGGCATCTATCCTTTTTTGCCTTTCTGATGGTAATTAAAGGGATATCCTGTCCCTACAAGGCTAGGCATCTATCACTGGTACTGACAGTTCCCTTTCTGCGGTAACATCTCCTCCTTTATTAGCTCCTTTCTATCAGCTTTGAAACATGTGCAAGTCTCTCCAAACCCCACTTCCGTAATTTAGTTACCACCCTTTGTTCCTCAGCCCCTTTTTTAGCCAAATTTCTGAGAGAAGTTTCCACAATTCATATAACCAACTCAGGCAGTCTAGCTTTCATCCCTGTTCTTCCACTGAAAGTGAATTACAATAAATGCACCAACTTCCTTCACATTAAACTCAAGGCCACTTTTTAGTGTTCCTGAATCACTTTGCCTGTTAGCAGCACTGAATATTCTCAAATGTTTTCTTCCTTATTTTGTGATACAATACAGTCTCTTGAATTTTCTCCTCTTTGGATAATCCCTATTACTCATATCTTCCTCATCTTACTCCTTAAATGTGGGTGAGCCTAAGGGTTTATCTGAAGCCAATGCAAACTCTTGTGAACATTAGATCCATATGTCAGATGCACTTGGATGTTTCCAAAGCACTACAAACTCAGTAAAAATGAACTAGAGAATGAAGACCTAACAGTGGAAATGTACTCTCCATCTTAGTAAACTGTGTCAGTAGAAAATATTTAATTTTTTGAGTGTGAAAACACTACACTATATATAGTCCAAGGAGAGGTAGCTTACAGTAATATAAAATATATCTAAGTCCAAATCCTAGGACTGCCAGAATTTTTCTATCAACAGTTTCATCTAAAAATACTATTATATTCTTATCATACAAGCAAGAAAGCTCCAGGTTTAAATCATATTTACTGCCAATCTTATATCAGCCTGCTAATGGTATAGGAAAAAGCCTTTTAGTAATAATATTTTCAGGAATAATCGTTAAAACTCTCTAATTTCCACTCAAACAACAGAATGGAATTTCACAGCTGACAGGGGCCTTAGAGATCATAAAACAAATTTTTCCTTTTATCGATTAAAAAAATGAAGTCCAATGTTAATTTCTCTCAAGGTCCTTTAGCTGTTTTTCACAAACTCTGACTCAGAAATCACATTTCTCTCAGAAAGCAATTGACTATATTCAGCTAGCTACATTCTCTCTTATTAACTAACTAAAACTAACTACATTCTACCAAAGTTTACAACATTGTAAATAACTGGCTTGTCAAGGCCCATGTGAAAAGGTAATAAGGCTGTGGCTCTCTTACAATACATTCAATAATGGTGGTCACTGTAATATTCTATTCTTAAAGGATGAACTTAAAGGACACATTCTTGAAATGCCTTTGCTGGTGAGATGATGGGTTTGCCACATTCATTCTATAGTCTCAGTCCACTCATGACTAAAGGTATCTGCCATATAAATGGCTGAAACTGGAGATGTAGTCTACAGCTCAGGAAAATAATTTATCCCTAGTTATGGGAAGGGTTATTTGACTTAGCTCCAAGACAGCAAAGCTTGTGGGCAAACTTTCACTGTCATGAAAGGCTATTATATCCCTGTGGACATGAATTGATAGGGATAAATCAACCTTAATGGGTTAAAGCAGCCCATATAAATTATATGCTTGAGGTGATAACCAGTTGTGGTGGACTAAATATCGTACCCCCAAATGATGTTCAGGTGCTAATCCCTGGAACCTGTAAATATTTCTGTGTGTGGCAAAAAGATTCAAATGTGATTAACTTTATAAACATTTCTGCATATAGCAAAAAGATGAGAAGGGGAGGGTATCTGGGCTGGGTGGTGTCTATAGCAGAAGATGGCAGAGGGAGATTTAAGGAATATAGAAGAAGAGAAGGCAATGTGAAGATGGACACAGAAATTGGGAGTGATATAGACACAAGTGAAGGAATGCCAGCAACCATCATAAGCTGGAAGAAGCTGGAAGAGAGTCTC